GGAAACAAAATATGAGCTGAACAAAATTCATAATAGGGTTGACATGGTAAGTCAAAATTACAATGTTCTTCTGTAGGCAAGTCGTCCTTATTAGTTGGTTTTAATCAACGAAATTGCCAAATGTATTCATTATAGATTTTCTAACGTTTATTTTATGTCTACCTTTTCTTTTCTGCTTGCCACAGAAAAGTAGTCTTTAATTATAAGTGGTCTTTAATTGGAGAGGTTTGTAATAAGAGGGAGTTGATTATCATAACAAGATTGATTACATAGACTGTGTTCTGCTATTCACCCTGTAAGACCATTGCTATAAAACAGTCTATCTGCGAGTATTCAAAACAATTCGACAGTCACTCGATACAACTGTTTTTGGATCGCTAGGCATATATGGCATGTGCTGAACATTTTATCACTGTCATTCACATTCACACATAAACCAGTAAAGCTCACTCTACTGTGAGACTGACAAAAATAAAGTTTATAATGTTGTTAATGCAAAGATTAATTTTAAATGTAGGATATATTTGGAAGCTACTTTATAATTTTAGAAGGGAAATTTAGTTTTCTTTATACTTGTCAATTGAAGAAAGCCACATTTATTGCCTACTCCATGCAGACTTAAAAACTACTGTAATACCAGCTAACTACCGGTAGACTGAAGTATAGGAATGGTCTCATTATAGACTAGTGCATATCACGATGTCGACTAAGCATTATGATTGTAGCGATTGTATGGAAACCTAGCTTTAATTAGGCCTTCTGTAATGACAGCCATAAGCATTGGTTGGTTTTCAACAGAATCTATCGCTGTTCATCAACATTATATTATGTATTGTCCTTTTCAAACCTCAGTATAGACATCAACATGGTAAATATTTGTTATTTGTATTTATTTTTTGATGCGTGACAGTGGAAATGGCAAGGTTAATGATAATCCTTACCAGTCCTCTGTATTGATACATTAACATAAACATTAATTAAGGATTACACCAATACATTTAATGAAAAATTTTAAAAATTAGTTATTAACTCACTTTTTCAGACTATGGCAGCATTTGAACTGAATGAGAAACTTGTAGAAGAAAATAAAGCTACATATTTTGTTCCTGATTTAGTAAGTACAGTTTTCTAATTAAGACAAGATGATCTTTTATTTTTGTTAATGGTTGGTTCCTTTTGAAAGAAGGAATTTCTTTGTGGGTGGGGATATGAAGGGGTTGTTGATAAATTCAGAGATATATTGCCTAAACCTAAATAATTAAATTAAAATGTTGAATAGCTCATAAAGGATCAAATAAGTTATTAACTTCCAATATAAACAGATCGACAAAAAAAACCCCCAAATTATCTTATTTACATTCTGATTACTACAAAAATCCTTAAATTGATTATCTCCTAATTTTAAACAGTTCATTGTAAAAGATTACAACAGTCAATTTTACTAGTAGTAAAAATAAATGTTAGATTGTGAGTTTCTTACCTATTAAGAATTAAGAATATTGAGCTCGTTTCCAAAGTTATTCATGGTGGGTCATAATTACCATCAACTTAGGGGTTCTTCACAATTATCAACATTTTCACAAGTGTACAAACAGTACTCCCCTTTAAAAGTGTACAAAACCATTCTCCATTTTTTTTTTTGTGAAGTCAACTAAAGCAATGTACTTGGTTGCTTAAAAATGAATATTATATCCATGGTTACATTATAATTTTACCATTATTTTACATGTTGCATGTTATTTTGAATTTTTATTCATTTTTATGCATGTAAGACTAAGAGTGTACAAATTTGTGTAACCCCTCTCTCTAGCATACTGTTTGTACACTTGTTGATATTGTTGATATTGTTGAACAAGTGGCTGTAACAATAAATTATACATCTGTTTGGAATCTTCGTCCCAGTGGTGTATCTAGGAGTCTTGAAATGGGTGGGGAGGGTGGTGTGTAGATGGGGGCATGAAGGTGAAGTGGGGGAGCTCAATCATTAAAAGTAAGGGGATACTTGCAAAATTTGGTGATGAGGCGATTTTTATCTACTTCACATGATTTATTTTTGCTTCGAACATTTTCAATGGGGGTGGTACAAATTTTTTAGAGAGGGGATATGTTTCCCCCCCCCCCTCATCCCACTAGATACACCACAGCTTTGTCTTGCATTGTTATTCCAATGAATAAAATTGTGTTGAAATACTGCTCTTTTAGATTGAGTTGGAGAAGATAATAAGCGATACAATC